GCTGGTTGTGCGTCGGTGGAGGGATTCATAACAGAACAAGGAGGAGCTAGGAGAGAAGAGCGAGGAAGAAGAAGAAGTTCATGTTGATGTTCATATGATACGGAGAATTGAGAAAGTGAAAGAAAGTGAGATAAAGCAGAGCTTACAAAAAGAGAGACCCAGTGGGCCGCCCCCTCTCTGCAAATTTCCAGAGAGAGATTTTGCAGGGATGCCCCACACATGCTGTCTTGTGTCTTTTTTTTTCTCTCTCTAGGGCACTTGCTTTTGAAATTACTATTCTACCCCTTTGCTGCTCTCACATGTCACCGCTTCCCATTATTATTATATTATGCATACCACACCCTTCTCGAGTTCTCGTAGCTTTGGATTCATTTTAATTTCCGATTATGAATATCATATCATCTTTTTGTTGGATTAATCTAGACTTAGCTAAATTGGTTATGACATGTATCGCTGATTAAGATCGTGTATTCAAACTTCTTTTACCTTTTTATATATATATATTTTTTATAACAACATATAGAAGGTGGGGGATTGAACTCTCAAATTCTTGATTGCAGATATATGATAATTACCGCTGAGCTGACTCGTTTTGGCACCCTTACATTGTTACATGTGTTATTCGTACAATGGTTAAAGTATTCTAGAGGCTAAAGTTGGCCAAAAATCTGAAGTATAGACGACTATGTGGTCGAATCAAAGAGGTCAAATTAAAGTCTGACTAATCGAATAATAGGTACACGACGGACTTGTCGGTTGGTGGCTGAGTGATCTCTAATCGGTTGTAACAAAAATTCCATTATAAATATCGAAGGTAACATTATTTTCAGGTACGTACGAGTTTGATTACAAATTTAAATTCATATACATCGAATTAAGACTAATTTGAGTTTTAGAATGCTCACGCTCACGCTCTATTTTACGATTCGAACTAAAATTCTAAGAGGTTTGTGTGATCACATGTTTGCTAAAACACATATTGTTGTAGAAAGAAGAATTCAAACCATATGTTGGTATATCCTTCCAATTCCTAGTTTTCCCACTTTCAAACTCTTTTCTGCTGCATGTCTTGGTCCAAGCCATTTATATAAATATTAGAGATAACCTAAATATACCAATCGTTTATTAAAAATTTCAATTAAGTCATTTTGTTCAAATAAATTTTTATTACATGTTTTGATGTATCATCAAATTATTATTTTTATCAACATATATCAACATGGCACTTCAAATAAATAAAATTTTATTGATGAACGGATTGAATTTTATATATCGAGTATCATCTTCTTCGTAGTATATGGTCTATATATTCAAATATGTTAATATAACAATAATTTAATAGCATGTACATCAATAACAAGTTTGCAAATTTTTATGGGATGACCTAGTTGAAAATTTTTAATTTAATTACTTTTTAATTAAGAATTTTTTTATAATTGTTTTTAAAAAAAAAGGAATTTTTTGATAATTAGAAATCAAATCGATCTAAATTTTAGTGATGGGTATTGACATTTTTTTTTCCATTTTCTCAAAAGATGAGGTGTTATTTTCCTTCCCATCAAGAAAGAGATAAAGAAAATTTGGTACCAATCTTAACCACCTTTAAATTGAACCAAAACAATGAATTAATAACCATAGAAATGTTGTTTAATCTTTTTCTTTCTTTATAACACGAAATTAAAGATAATAAATCTGTTCGAATTTATAGATACAAATAAATAGGTGGATAGCCAAAGCGAACAACCTAAAATATAAAGAGTACAGCAAAAACTGTAGTAGATTTAGAAATTATATACCATTTTGAAAATTGTAGAATAGTTACAAATTAAATATTTAATTGAATCTAAAATAATATTAATTTTTTATTATAAATTTTGGAGATTTATTATTTTAAGATACTATATAATTTATAATATATTATATTTAACATATTTTAATTTTAACAAAAATTAAATGAGTTTAAATGGGCCGCCCATTCCCTGCCTGCCCCTGTCCCTCTCCATCCGCTCAAAAACGTCGCCGTTCCCTTTATTATCTTTCAAATTTGTTTGAAGTGAAATTGTGTGATTTTTTATATTAAATATATGGTTTTGTTTT